ATATACACATATACATATATATACATATACACATATACATATATATACATATACACATATACATATATATATACACATATACATACATATATATACACATATACATATATATATATATACATATACATATATATACACATATACATATTTGATATATATATATATATGTGTGTGTATATATATATATATATATATATATATATATGATGTGTGTGTGTGTATATATATATATATATATATATACTTATATACACATATATACACATATCCGAATTTTTTTCGAAAGGACACTTTTTAAGAGTTTTTGTTTGTGTTCCTAGATTATTGTATCTGCTGTTTCAGAACAGACCTTTTACCTCAGAAGCCTTTTGCCAGCAACAACTTATTTTTAGAGCTTTTGTGTCGGTTTTTTTTTTCTCCTTGTGTGACTGCCTTCTCTTGTACAATCACAAGAAAACAAAGCAATGGACAGGACTGTAAGAAGATGTATGTGGAGAAAAACAGAGAAACGAAATTAAAACAAAGTGATGGAAAAATGATGCTGGCCTGTGACCGATAGATGCAGTTTCACTGAACTGAAGAACAAAAAAGATTAACCTGGGGGAGGGGGGTCTAATTCTCCCAGAATGCTGGAAAATGACTTAATATTCTGTATTTGTGCATATTTGCTTAAAATATGGGGGAAAAGATCTTTGAAGCGACCTTGGAGAAACAGCAATTTTGAAATTATGTAAGTCTCTTGATGTTGGGGTTGTTTGTATAAAGATTTGATGAAGCATTGAGGAGGTGCTTTAAAGGACAGCCAGCAAACAAAAACAGGAAATAATTACAAAAGGTGCTGGTCAAATCATATAGTGGCATCAACTTCATATTTAGACTAGTGTGTACAAAGGTCCTGCCATTTTGTACAACATGTAGTACTAATAGGGTACAAAATGGTAATTGTTCACATATATACAGACTCTTCCCAAAAAATTTGAAAATCATGGAAAAGTTGTTTAACTTCCATAAAGTTAATCTTTAATAGATGATAGATTCAGGGCCTACAATTTAATCAATTTCACATATTTGTTTATTTTTACATTATTTGGGCTTCCAGCTCATGAAAACCATGAAAACAGGATTTCAAAAAAATTAGAATACTGTAGAGAAATCAGCCCAAGTTTTGCAGGGCGTGAATGTTTTAAACTGAATGTGACACACTAATCATCTACTAAACTCAAAGCACCTGCACAGGTTGCCCCAGGTGTCATTAAATTGCTTCAGTTTGGTTCAATTGTCTCAGTTCGGTTCAATATGGGGAAGACTGCAGACATAACAACTGGCCAGAAGACCATCATTGATACCTCCATAGGATGGGTAAGCCACAAAAGTTCATAGCTAAGGAGGCTGGCTGTTCACAGAGTGCTATGTCTAAGCATATCAATGGAAAGTCTAGTGGAAAGGCAAAATGTGGCAGGAGAAGATGCACCAGCAAAAGAGATGACCGTGGGCTTCAGCGGATTATCAAACAGAGAAGATTCCAGAATCTGGCAGAGATCCAGAAAGAATGGAATGAGGTGGGAGTCAAAGCTTCAAAAACTACCACATTCAGACGCATCCAGGAGATGGGCTAAAACTGTTAGGTTCCTTGGTCCTCTTGTCTGATGAAAGTAAAGTGTGCCATTCATTTGGAAATCAAGGTCCAAGGGTTTGGAGGAAGAAGGGTGAGGAACAGAGCACATACTGCTTGAGGTCCAGTGTGAAATATCCACAGTCATGATTTGGGGTGCAATGTCCAGTGCAGAGGCAGCACGGTGGCGCAACTGGTAGAGCTGTTGCCTCTCAGCGAGAAGGTTGCCGGTTCAAATCCCGGTCCGGAGGCCTTTCTGGGTGAAGTTTGCACATTCTTTCCGTGCATGCGTGAGTTTTCTCAGGGTACTCCGGTTTCCTCACACAGACCAAAAACATGCATGTTAGGCTGATTGGTAACTCTGAAATTGTCCCTAGGTGTGAGTGAGAGAGTAAATGGTTGTTTGTCTTGTTTGTCTCTATGTGGCCCTGTGATGGACTTGCGACCTGTCCAGGGTGTACCCCGTCCCTCGCACAGCAATTGCTGGACATGGGCATCGGCAACCCCTGTGACCCAAAATGGAAGAAGCGAGTAAAAGATAATGGATGGATGGATGGATGTCCAGTGTAGGTGTTGGTAAACTCTGCTTTTTTAAATCCAAGGCCACTGCAACAGTCTACCAGAATGTTTTAGAGGACTTCATGATTACTTCTGCTGAGGATCTGTATGGAGATGCAAATTTCATCTTCCAGCAGGACCTGGCCCCTGC